GGGGAGTGGACACGAAATAAAACGAAATTGACACCAAATTTGCAGTCAACAAAAGAATAGTTCGAGAAGGAAGGTAACAGTCACAATGAGGGGAGCTTGGACCCCCACCCCTTCCCACGATGCATCCCTGATTACACCAGGTATTTTTTTTTCACAACTGCGGGACGCAGAGTTGCAAGCAATGCGTTTTATCTTGAGGTCAACATTCAGTTTCCCATCAAAAGTACGTCAAGTAGTGGTCAAGTTTCCAATTAAAAGTTCGGAAAGTCAAACGTGTCTCGGAAAATATAAATGTGGAGAGTCCACCAGTCGTGTCCACGGAAGTGAGGACGCGGCAACCCTCGCTGCACAGGTGTTGATTGTGGAGTCCTCCTCGAGCCCCGCAGGGAATGGCGTAATGATTACGGAGGGAAGAACCTCCTCCCTCATATGCATACGTACGCCAGGACATCCCACTTTCCCTGAGCAGACCCTCGGCAGTGGGTCGCCGAGAGCCAAAGTGAGTGGACGCACTCACGGCACGCGTGAAGCCGTGCCGAGCCTTCACGTAGCTGCCGCACAGGAACGTGCGGACTATTAGAGGAACTGTGGTGACGGTGGTCCTCCACCGGACAACTGGGACGCACGAGGACGACCCTGAGGCTCCCCCATCAGCGTGAGGCTGTTATTTGCTACTAACCCTATTTACCTATCCCTTTTGTTGTCTTGTATAATAAATTGTGCGTAGTGTCCGATTACGCACCTTTATATATAAACCCGGAGTCCTGAGTAATTCAAAGGAGTCTTCACCTTAGAGTCAACGATAACTATTGGACGGACTTCCTGCTGCCGATCACAGAGGTCTCTCTTACGAACCTCTCCGAACATCGCAACCTTCGCAGATAACATCTCCAGATACTTTTCCTGATAACTCTCTGGAGATCCCCGCACTCCGGAAACCCCATTCTGTAGGGGGCCCCCCCAGAGGACCAGTACTACATGATGTCAGGATGAGGAAACTCGAAGAAGCCGTCGTGGACGGTTTCGTCGTCTGCTCGCCTCCAGTTTGGAGGATGCGTCCGAAGTGACTGCATCGTCGAGGGATGATTTCGTCGTTTCGGGACTTCGAGAAAGGTTAGGAATTGCTCAACAATTTTAGAGTCCAAGTCGCGACCTGATGGGAAACGGGAAAAAATGGTGAAATAGGCTAACTCTTGTTGGGTACGTTTTCGAGTTGGAGTGAGTGAAAACTAACCCTAACTTGAATTGTAATCGAATCGTAAGCATTCGAACCCGAGTTTCACATCATAGGATAGCCATAAAATATAACGATCCCTTCGTCATTTACTCTTTATCGAAACTTGCCTGGTTGCATGTAATGAACTTAACCCAGAAAGCATGAAACATTGTGCCTACATTGCCGGAAAAGTGGGGATGCAATATAGTGCTGCTGAGATCGGGCAAACGTTGGAATGCCGTTCCACAGTGTGAAGTAGCGGTGGCCTGCTCACATTGTCACCGTCACGAACGCTCACCAGAGGCGAGGCCTACAATGCTGAGACTAGTAGCAAAAAGGGAAAGGATGAAGAAAGCTACACGCTCCAGCGATCGCTTGGGCTACGTGCAGGAACCATAGTGCATCCAAAAGTCAGCGCCATCCCTCCAATTCTTTTAAGAAAGTTAACATTGTGTAACGATGTGTACATCGTGTATATAGTGTATATAGTGCAGGGTATTTTTTTTTAAACCAGACTCATGAACAAGTGTATTTCTTTGGATTGACGTGAGATGGCGCCTCTGGCGCCGCGTTATTTACCACGACTTAAACCGGTGACTTATTATATCTAAATATCTTATGTGTGAGAGAAGGATGGGTCCCCGTGTACCACCCTTATGTCGGGAGTCAGGAATGTTTCCTCCGGTATCCTGAAAGAAGTTGATTAGAAGGTAAGCGCGAGGGAATACTGTACACCCCCTAGGGAAGTTGAGCCGAGCGTGCATGACTACCCGAGCAGGAACCATCTTGACGGTAAACTTTCCCGGCTCGGGTTTCCCTGTGTCCCTGTGTCCCTGTTCGTGTCTGGCATATTCGGTTCATGTGTACTAAGAGCCGATTGCATGAACGGTGTTTTCCCGGTGTTTTTCGAAATTCATCGTTTAACCGATGTCTAAGGCCAAAAGTGGACCGCATGAACGCTATCTTCCTTAACCATCGTCTAACCGATGTCTAACAGAAGCTGAAAAAGGTGTCGTTTCCAGATAAGGGATGGGGCATGTTTTGCCAATATTTATGCCAGCATTCGTGTACCATCTCGATGAGTATAGTGCTGCAGTGTACTGGTGAAGCACAATGGATTCTGTTTATGGATCCGCTGGATAACGGCTACGTGCTCTCGTTGTCGCATGGGAGGAATAAACATAGGTTTTAGGCTTAATTCCTTTCAAGAATATGTCGATTAGAACTTCCGCGTGAGACACCAATTTGGAAAGGGATCAGGGTATGATGTCGATCTGCTTCGCGCTCAACTCGAAAGGAACGAAGATCGTGGAAGGGATCCCTTAACTTTACGTCGACGGATAAGAGTAATCACTGTTCGTGTGCAATGAATCGTGATTTGTTCAATTATCCATCCCCTGAGTAATTAATTAATATGACTCGAAAGTAAAGTGAGTATCATGAAAGCCTTTCAATTTGTATGTTATGCTGACCCTTCGATTTTATGTGGCGTCGATTCCTAGAAATGGAAAGACGTAAGCCATTGCCCATTTACAAATGGGCAATGGCTTGCCACTCATTACATTCCTAGGAGGAAAACGGAGTAGTTGTTCGAAGATAATTACTTGATATTGTCGGATTTCCAGGAGTGATCGGTGTCATCGACGACTGTCGTACTCGAGTAGAATGCCCAGACAACTTTTATCAATCGCAAATGCTTTTATTTCATCGATGTCCAAGCAGTGCGAGATGCAGAAAGGATTTTTTACTGATGCTGTCATTACGTGACTAGGATCCACATGCGTCGAAAATCCTCATTTTGCAATCGTACCCAAATGATACTCCTATTTTTCACATTTTCCGTGTGTCCAAAACGAATCCTTGGCTTTACTTCTGATGTATCGAAATACAGAGTAAGGTCAGAGGAGAACTCACCAGTTTCCAGGCATGATTATTGTTGTGCAAGGAAAGTGCGTTGTGTGTCTCTCTCTCGCGAGATTCTCCTTTACAAGCTCTGCGAGATGTACTTAATAGTCTGAGGAAAGGTTCTCCTTTGTCACTTGATTCGCTCGTGTTTTTTGTGGAGTCCAAAGTGTATTACGCGGCAATCGAGGAGTCAGAACGTGCTATATATACCATGAGGGGTGTTTAGCCATCGTCTAACCATCGGCAATGAAAACATGGCCTAGGGATCGTTCACGCAATCGAAAGAAGACAGCGGTTAACCGATGTTTTCGTAGACGTTTAAACAACGACTATCAATAATCAATGTCTAAAATAAACATCGTTCATGCAATCGGCCCTAAGCTTTCTTGGCTGTTACATTCATTTGCTTTGCGACGGGCCGGATTGCCCTGATTGGTCTGGTAGAGAAACTAAGTTGTGTTGCTGAACCCAGTGTCTCACATTAAAGTTTGGCTGTATCCGCGCTCCTGAGTTTCGTTGGGGTTCACCCCGATTCTAGAGCCTCCTGTACGGCTACGGTTATCCCCGGTGTCGGCATCCGGTCTGCGGACTGGAGGGCGGATCTCGCCAGTACCCCAACGTGCCGGATTCAGTATTCCGGAAGGGTGATCTGACGAGACAGGCCGCCAAGACCGTCACAGTACCATGAGGGGTGTTTAGCCATAGTCTAACCATCGGCTATGAAAACATGGCTTAGGAATCGTTCACGCAATCGAAAGTAGACAGCGGTTAACCGATGTTTTCGTAGACACTGTTTAAACAATGACTATCGATAATCAATGTCTAAAATAAACATCGTTCATGCAATCGGCCCTTAGCCTTCACCTCCTTTACGACCTGAGCCCAATTGCTAACCACCTGGGAGTCGGCATTCGATGCGCTGTCAGAGGACGAAAGAACCACCCAGTCCGGAAGGCTGGGGTACTCCAGGAGTGCCTCCTCCACCCTGCTTAGCCTCGCCACTAGGCTTATAGTGTTTTTCACTTCAGTTAGACACTTTTTCACTTGACTTCGACACTCATGCATGTGGAACGTCCCATGCACGTGTGTCTGAGTCAAGTGAAAAATAGTCTAACTCAAGTGAAAAACACTGTAAATCATCCCTCTAAATTATAGCCACTCAAGACATTTGAATCAATTTTCAATTATATGCTTTCTTAAAGTGCTCATAGTCCGTAAAGCAAATAAATACTCATTGAAATTGAGTAATAATCTTCGCAATGATGCTGAATTGGTATGTCTATGTTTGGCTATTCTGGTTGGCGGCCTGAGCACAAGTTTTCAAAAGTCAAGGGGATCTGCTCTAGGTAGCCCTGATTCACTCTCACACAGGCATTCCAGGGATGCAGGCATCCCTGGCATTCTCTTTATTCCAGAGAATGTGCTTGTTTTGGTGGAAAATGGATGCCCTCCTATGAGAAACGATCATCCTGTATGTCTCCCTGTCCAGATAATTCTATAACCCTGAGATGTCCCTACAAGCTTTCTCTGGGACGTATTTGTGCTGTAGAAGAAATGACTGGCTCATTGCGTTGTGCAGCCTCACGTGCTCACATTCTCCCCCCCCCCCCCCCTCCACCGTTAATTCGCCTGACATGACAGTTTTGCGAGTCTGTCGGAATGCTTGTCACCATCCATTAAAATCTTTGTCCCACTCATGCGTTTTTTGAAAACGAATGAAGCATACAGTGTTATGAAATGTTCATTTCACATTGAGGTAGGCGAGATGCAGCATATGGAGTATTTCCCAAACTAAAGCAGGCAGAGAGCTGTCCAACTACTTCATAGGCTAGCAGGCTACTAATACTTGCACTTTCATAACTTTTCAGTCTTGTAAAGCCTTTCATAAGATAGCCTTTGGATATGGAATGGTAACATGATGCGCACCTTCCACAAGAAGTTTATTGCCAGACCAGACATAAAAGGTCTCATCTCTCATTTCATCAGTGCATCATATCTTGCAGAGATAGGCTACATTATCAACTGTCATCACTGTCATTATGCACGATGTAACAAATATAAATAAAACCAGACAATTATGGTACATAAAAAAATGGCACATGAGATGCAGGAAATTTGAACACTTGGTCAAAATGCAATGCACTGTAACAAGAGGCTCTCTCCCCCCTTATTCTCCCATTGATTCTGCATTCTGTCTATGATAGGTAATGACCCTCTTTTGGCTACCTACGAACATAATAAAAAAAGGTGAAGAGGAAAACAAATCGAGACTCTTTAGCACCAATAACCTGCCTACCGGCTTGACCAATCCTGCCACTAGAGGAAATGCTCTCAAATCCACAGAATGGCACAGATAGAAATTCTGACATGGCTCAAGATGCAGACACAATATGGATATCTTGACTTGAGGAAATCCTCAAAATGATATGTCTACAGGTCAATCAGTGTTAGTAGAAGACAACATACTATTTTTTTTACTCCCTTCTAGATATGTTGCAATCTTATGAATTTGCCTTATTACCACAGATGAGTTTGCATTAAAGATATTACTGCAACTAGAGAAAAGTTACCAGCACTGAAACCATTGCTTCCCTTTTCAATCTCATTAGACAAGGTCTTGGTCAACAATCCCGTGGAGGTTAACACAGAACGACAAGGAAAGATACAATCATTGTTCATTTTCTATTTAGACATCCCCAGGAGTAGAAAAAGAAGCAAAAATATAAGCAAAGATGAATGGCATACAAAAAAAGGTGGATGGGAAATGAATGCAAGGATTCTTCCCCATACTTTCCCAAGGGAACATAAGAGGGGAAACGGGAATAGATCACAGAACGACAAGGATGATGAATGTATGACTCCAGTCCAGCTATAGACCTCTAGACATGTCCATAGCCACATATGCAAAGCATGGACACTGGCCAGTCCATCTCTACCAATCACAGGTGGCATGCAAAAAAAAGAAGAAAGAGAAGAACTTGGCAAGATATGTTCCAAAGTATGTTCCATTCTAGTTTCCTGGAATGCATTTCTCTGCTGTCAAAATTGGGGAGAGCTCTTAATAAGAAGATATATGCAGCTATGAGGTAGAAGATTGTTGATCAAATTCTGAAAGTCTAGTTATGCAACTGCAAATCCCTAACACACATCAAGAACCTCCTAAACAAACTCCTCACTTTGATTGATGAAAATCTAGTCAATGAAATTCATCAATAAGACAGATCATATACTCCATCCAAGTCTGGACTTTTCCTAGCAGTGAAACCAATAGATTTGATGTGAGATGTACCTATTATGATATTTTGTAAATTGGTGACTTCTGTGCCTTGTTCTTAATCTGCATTACAAAGCAGATAAAAAATGAAAATGGTACATTTAAAAATAAAATATTTTAGGTCAGGTTTCAGTCACAGGAAAATCGATCACCAATGGAATACCAATAATTCAACTGAACATCCAGTTACCCTACTAGGATTTTGGGTGCATGCATAGGAACTGAGGATTTCTTCCTCCTTTCTGTCCCACACCCAAAGCCAGTGGGAGAGGAATCAGAAGCAGGAGAAAAGTCCTGAACAATATGTTCTCCATCAAGATTTTTTACCTTTCTCAGGCATTTACCATTCAGACATTTGAAATCTCTCTCATGCACAGTGGTTCAGAATTCGTCAAAACCAGGCCAAAAGTTGAAAAACGAAGTTTTAATAATAGTGAAAAAATTATTTTATATCAGAGGTGTCTACACATCATTAAAACAACAACATTTCTGAGTTTCTCCCTCCTCAATTGACAGAGTAATTACCTAAAGGGTTGGAAACTTTATGACAGGCATAGATGTAGTTTTGTAGTAGCCAGTTTCCTGGTAATGTTATTTTGGTTATTGGTTATTTTGGTTATTATGGCCCATAATGGTTATTATGGTTATTATACATTATGGTTATTATGGTCCTGGTTATTTTGAAACAAAATAACCACTTCATAGTAAGAAAATGAAATTTGCTCTGACAGAAGGTGATGATAAGTGACTTCTTTTCTATTAGTTGTTAGCCTTGTGAAAAATCAGATTTATCCATAAATTGGTTTAGATTGAGGAAATTTCCTCATACAAAACCACGTTGCAGATGGCAATATGATATTAGCCATTCTAACCACCTGGGCAAAAATGGGCTGCTAGAATTATCATGACTGGATGACATACATATGTGAGACTAATTTTAGTAAAACAAATCCTTGGCATCTATTGGCACACAAATTTCTGGTAAACAAGTTTCCAGGTCTGCAAAAAAATGGTAGTTTAAAAAAATGAGTTTCACAACTACCCAATTTATGAAGTGGTTATTTTATTTCAAAACAGCCATTACCAGGAAACTGACTACTACAAAACTACATCTATGCCTGTTGTGAAGTTTCCAACACTTTAGGTAATTACTCCGTCAATTGGGGAGGGAGAAACTCAGAAATTTTGTTGTTTTAGTGATACATAGACACCTCTGAATTAAAATAATATTTTTTCACTATTATTAAAACTTCTTTTTATGACTTTGGCCAGGTTTTGATGAATTCTGAACCACTGTGTCATGTACTGAAGCAACCTTGCATGTAACTGAGCTCTCTTCACTAAAAACCATTTTCCTTATGGGAAAACAAAGAGATTATGTATACTTTCACATGAAGATACCTTCTAATAAACTGAAGCAATGTATCTTAAAGTGTTACTGCACCACATGCAACACAGGAATTCACGTTCTAAAAAAGTTCAGTTTTTCATCATTGAGTCCACATCTTATGGTTTATGCATGATGAACATGAGATGTGTGATTTGATAACTCAAACCTACTCAGTTATGGAGCCAATACATTGGGAAGAGATTCTCACAAAATGAAGGGATTTATCAAATCTCTCAAGAAACATCCAGTCACATGAGAGCCAATGAAAATGTAACAGCTTCCTGCATCTTCTGAAGAATTTTTAGGTCTAGGCCCATTTTTATACCCGTTTTATGAACTGAATTTTCCGCCGAAGTTGGGGATGTGTAAAACTGTCAAAGAGAAAAACCTGTGATGGCAGGGCAGAAATGAGAGGCATAACTGCATACATTGATAGTAAAACTTGCAACCTTCAGAGAAGAGGTGGTCAATAGTCTCAGGAATATTCCAAGCATCACAGTTTGACAAAGGAACAAAGAATATAAGTGAGCAAGGAATTTTCTGTGACCCCAAGTGAAATCTACTCAAAGACAGAGAGAGTTCAGATGCAGCTACTCATTTGCATAGTACCAAGGTTGCTTCATCACACCCTTAGGCCATGGGAGAGATTTTAAATTTCCAAGCATCACAGCAAAAAATATAATTAATGAAATGAATTAATGACGTTATCAGGACTGTAAATTCTGTCATGTTTCCATTGGTCAGACTCTTTGCAGGATGACAAGAGGGGGGGAAAACAGAAATAAATTTTTTTTTTTTTTTTTGCACTCTGATTTCCTTCTCATTTTCTTCTCACACAAGACAGGAACTTAGGAGAATGAATGAAAATGAGAAAATTGTCAAAAGTTCGGTACCAGGAATTTTCACTTATCAGAACACCTGCATCTCTGCAAAAAAAAATTTGAACAGTCTATAAGTGCCACTGATGTGCACTACCTGATTTTCCTTCTTCCAACTACCATCTTACATAAAGAAACTTACTTAAACAGAAATGCACAGGTTAGCAACTACAGATTAGTTTGACATAATCCCCATCATAAAGAACCACAAGAATCAAATTGGGAAGAATCAAAACAAGTCACTTTGAAGAGAAAAATTTGTTTGGTGTTCATAACTGCCTTTGAACCACTTCATCTGTAAGAGCATTTTTGAATACTGGTGAAAATGGAGGAGAGAGAAAATGTAAAAAAGAAAAATTCCAAGATGTCCTAGGGTCAGAGGTCCTATGGTGGTGGTGGTGGTGAGGTTTGCATCACAGCACGTAGGAAGAAGCTACACAGTTCCATTGAGGGACTCTGTTTTCACAGTTCTTAGTTCATCTCATTTTCTTTGGAAGCAAGGAGGCTGTTGCTAGAGACTCTGGGCATCAGGAATTGGGATGCATTTCATTTCTGCTGGGTCCTCTGTCAGATGCCACTGACAACAAATGATTGAACTCTTGCTCCATGATATGACGAGCCTACAAAGAAAAACCCCTCTTACAAAAGTCCACAAGTAAGATAATAGATACACTGTGGTAGTTGGACAGTGTATTACCTGTTGATTTTGAGTGGGGATCTGAAGACACAGGCCCATCGCATTGTGGTCAAAGCTGTCATCCAATGCCAGCAATGCCCCATGGACTCCTGACTCCAACAGGTTACTTGCATATTCCTGACAAAGTATATCAAGATCCATGAAACTATATGCCTATGTTTAACAAATGCAAAATCTACCACAATGAGGATGTTCAGTACCTTGAGGCCAATGCTGACCACCCATTTGATGACTCGATCATTGGACCATACCAAGAGGTCTTTCAATTCATTCTCAGCATCCCGTCTCCGATCCTCCAACTGCTTGCGGTCGTAATTTATTCTTTTCAGGCACAATATTCCATAATGGAGACTGGTTCTGTTGGATAGAAAAGATGGATGCAATTGTTGGAGTTAATAGTGGAGGCTTTCTCTAATGACAGAGGTAATGAATACAAGTATAGACCTGTGGAAGCTGTCAACCATCTTGAGGTGAACCCTGAGGTCCTTCTTGACCAAGTGGTCCAGCATGCGTGCATCCACCAGGCATTCCATGAAGGTGGATCGGTACTGCGGCAGCCCTAGGCTTGGGAGCCAGTAGTTCCCTATCCATTCATGATTCATGTCCCCGAATGCAAGAGTAGTTCGAGCTGTCCGTGGAGCTGATGGGCTTGTCAAGGATACCATTTCTTGTATAGCCAAGCGAAGCTTCAGCCGATGCAGTGGATTGCTGTCACAAACAAAAATGCACAAAATCAGGTCAATAACTGTCTGAAAAGGGAGATTATCAGAAGGAAACTACAAGACCAGCTCACCTGATGCCAATCTCCCGCTGAATCTCTTGGTCTGATAGAGCAGACATGATGGCACCAGACTTGACATTGGCCCGACATGCAGCCACATACCATGCAGGCATTCCAACCCATAACTCCAACCATGCCACAATTGTTGGACCATTCCACAGTGCAAATGGAGTTCCTGCCTTCATTGCTTCAGCCAGCAACTCATTCCTGGAAAAAATGCCATCCAAAAAGTGTAGTAGTTGGATAATCAGAGAAGATGACAAATGGTTGTTTGTGCCTCAAAAAGCAGGGTAGGCAGAGGCTCCTAATTTTGCAATGATGCCACTTAAATTGAACCCTCACTTTCACTTGTATATTTGGGGAAGGGTATCCAGACATAATCAAGATTCGTCAAGATCAAGTCTTTATTGAGGCAGTATCAATAAATGATCATCTATGGCCAAGAAAAAACTGTTGCCACCTCCAATATGTGGAAAAGAGGACATGCAGAAAAGAGCTAGTCAAGTGTGGGCACAAGGAATTCTTGCCCTTCCATGGATATGCAAGGAATTACTGTACCAGATAGGCAAGCCCATCCAGTTTCACTCCTGAGCTACAGTCCCTCTTCTTGTTCCTGTGCTGGATTAAAGGTCAGCCCAAATTGGCGGGCAACAACATGCCTACTCTGGGAGCAAAACCTAATGGTGATTCTATTTTTGAATGAGTATTAAAAAAATATTTTATGCTATCCTTAAGAGTGCATAAAGTTACATTTATTACTTTGAGAACCCCACTTTTCAACTGGGTTGGCACTGCAAACCCTGCCTACCCTCATGAGCCACAACTGATTACAAAATCAATACTTTTTCTTTTTGCGCCGGTCAAAATCTCCCTTGAAGCCAAGGGTGTCGGTGCCACTGATCTCTCCATCACTGTAAATGCCTACATCACCACTTCCTCCACCTCCTCCCAAGATCATTCCTCCACCTCCTCCTGTCAGTTCTCTTACTCTTTCATGCTGCTGCTGATGCTAAACATTATCAAAGAGGTAACAAGACATTACTTTCAATGCCAAACACTGGAAAATTCCAAAGAATACAAAAGGACAAACCACTTTCTCCTTTTTGCTGAAGAAACGACCAAGGGAAGACTTGAGGCCACGAGGTTTCTTGCTTGGAATCACATTCTTGTGCAGGGAATCCTGGCTGCTGTTGGAGGACAAAGGGGAAGGTGGTGTTGAGTTTGAGAACCAGTCCTCTCTCCCCGTTCTGCTCGAAATCATTAATCTCACACTGAACTCAACACAACTCTAGGTGCAAAGTGTGAAGTCGCACTCTACCCTAGGCATGCTTTTAGCATATCATCCAATACATGGGGAAACACCAACTGGGAAGGGAAATAGCTTGTGGAATATTGAAGATGAAGCTAACATTAACCAAGAGGCTCACCAGGGACAAGGAAGGAACTGAGAAGGGATGGAATTGGGTATGAGTGGAATGACACAGTTCTTCTGGGAAATGTCCTTCAGACAAAGGACATGATTACATCAGAGGGACCAAGCATCCATGCACACTGCCACACAGATGTGAGTACAGGTTATGTGGGTAATGAATGAGGATCAAACTTGGCATGCATAAATGACAAATAACTAAAAGAATTATGTTCCTAAATCTTAAGAAAGGGCCTATGAAATGCATCCACTTGAAAAATAGCATTGAAAGCATTCCAGCATCAGATGTATCATGTGCAATATGTATATCATGCTTTGTGCTTTGGAAAGTAAAACAATCCACCAAGATCACCTTCCACAATGCCTTTTGCCTCTCAAAGAAACAGAAAGTTGGGTACAGAAATTAGCCTTTTAAAAGGCAAAGTCTGTTACATTTTCTCAGAGCTCTCATTCAACTACAGCATATCAAAAGGGAACAGTGGATATGTGACAATTTCAAGAAATAGGGGATATATAACATGCTGAAAGTAGACAGGCAATTTCGGGCAGTGATAACAAATTTGAATAAGAAAGCAAAAGGAAAGCTTTGCATTAGTAACCTTGGTAGTGTGAGGTAGGGATGAGTGTGAGACACCTGTCCAGGTTGCATTTCTTGCTGCCTGGTCATATATTGGCGCATGGCCATGCCTATAGCAGAACTTGGTCTTCCACTTGTAAATTCCCTACACAATGTCAGTCAGTTAGCATTACCTTCAGTACACCCAGGCAGCTTCCAGTTAAAGGGTTAGAGCCAGTTAATAGGCAATAAGCACACCATACCATGCAGAATGGATGAAGGAAATGAGGCCTACCTGCGTAACTCCTCTGTGGAATGGGCAAGGCTAGGTGAATGATCAAGGATAGAGGAAGCACCAGGAAGGATTTTTGTGGATCGAGGCGTGGGAGGGCTTCCTTGGTAATGCATTCCCTCCTCTGAGCCTCCCCCTCCCAACCCAACTCCAGACTGATGAGCATAAAACAAAATTACCAGAGCATGAGATGATGAAATGCATACAGCAGTGTGTAAGTTGACTAGAAAAAATTAAAACAGAGATAAGGGTATACTCAAAATCTCACCTGACTAGATTGATGCAGCTCACTCACAGGTGCATTCTCATAAGAAGATGAGAGTGGATACTGACTATATGCATGACTGGAAGGCAGTGAGGCTGGGATCTATGCACACCATACAAACACAATACCAAATATTTTCACTACCTGTCATGCTTGTCAAGGTATCAAAACTATTACACTTGGTATGAAGCAATTCATTGTAACAGTACCTATGAAACTTTCCCTGAACTAGAATAATCCACATTCATGAGTTGGAACTAAAGCAGCTAAACCAATGTCCAGAAGTATTCTTAACACAACTTGCTAATGGATTGCATGCAGACACAATAAAGAGAGGAAGACTCACAGTGTGATACTTATGGACATAGTCCCGATGAGGGGAAGGATGAGATCTGGGTGTGGATCGACCTGAGAGTGGTGGAGAAGGTGGTCGATCCAACATCCGACCACGGGACAGGAGATTCATTGCCTCAATACTCCCCATTCTACTCTCAATCTCTTCTGCTCTCTGCTCTGTATTGGCCTTCTCCTCTTGAATCAACCTGAGACATACAAATAGTCCTTTTTGTCAGACAACCAGTTCATGAGACAGGAGTGAAGCCTGACTCATCTGAAAAGTCTCACACACCTGATCTCATTGTTGATGGCATCCAGTTGTTCTTGAAGCATTCGAGCAAGGGTGTGTGCATCTGTATGTCCAGCAGGAGAAAGGATATCCATGCCAGAGAATAGGCTTTCATTGTCTTCTCCCTCATGAAGTTCTTCCCCACCATCCTCACCAATGACAAGATCTGCAACTGCAGTCCCTTCTCCTCCCGTGGTGTCAAACATGTGCAACTTCTCCCATTCATGGGTTTCATTCATGGTCTGGATGCATAACCAGCAGAAAATATTGGTCATCTTTACCTCAGCATACTTCAACAATGAAAGGGCTAGCTAGGGTACCTTTGAAGAATCCATTGCATCAAGTCCAGTTGTGAAGGGTTTTGGAGTCACTGTTTGCCTTGGGAGGGATCTTGACTCATAGTTTCCTGGTCGGGTCACTGTTGGTGACAAACTTCTGCAAGCAAGGAGGACAAAGCCATGGTGCAACATTTAGTATCCTACATCAAGTTCAACCAAAATTGTGACATACCTTGTGAGGGCCTCAGTACGTGCTGTCAGTTCCTGAGTGATGATCTGCCGTTTCAATGCATCTATTTCTTCTCGGCACTTGCTCAACTCCTCCATGATCAAGGACTAAAACAGAAAACTTCTTTATAATTGGAAGCTACATGCAAAGAACAGAGAATAGGAAAGAATGGAAGCACCTTCTCAGCATGAGATTCCTCCATGACCTTCCTGGTCCTCTCCAGTTCTTGAGTCAAATTATTCTTCTCCTCAAGGGAGTGCATGCGCTCTTTCAGATGCACCTGGAGTCTCTCATTTGATTCTGCAGAGGAAAACACAAATACATTTAGAAAAAATAGAAAGATAAATAGCCTGTCTTTGTGAGGAAGAAAGCTCATTCTCCTTCACCAGAGAGAAGTTTATCAACAGTGGCAGAGAGTCGAGTGTTGTGTTCTTCATTCATACGAAGGCGTTGGGAAAGTCGCAGTAGCTCTCCATTCTTCTCATCCAACTGGGATTCTAACCTCTGGATGCGATCCTCAGCTGACCCATGTCTCTCCTGTGCCTTCAATTAACCCATTCTCCTTCCATAAACCTGGTTCAATCAACTTTGGTGGGAAAGTCAGTCAGTGTCTCTCTCACCTGAGTAAGGGCTTCCATGTGCTGTTTCAACTCCTCCTCCACCTTGGGAAATTTAGACATTTGAGAGATCTTCTGCTCAGCCAGTTCCAGTTTCTCTTGCAGGGCTTTGATCCTGTCCTCTGAGAGCTGGCAAAGCAAAAGATCATAAAGAGACCATCTGAATGGGAGAAACTATTAGCATGATGAACTGATGACTCTTGACCCCTCTCACTTTGAGTTGTGCATCCCTGTTCTTCAGCTCCTCTTCCAGCTTCTCATTTAGATCATGCAAGGAAGTAGATTCCCTCTGAGCATTCAGGTATCGCTTCTCTAGTGTTGCAATTCTCTCCTCCTGCTCAGAATGAATTGTGACCTCAATCCACACAGATTTTCATTACATTACTCCTCACACTCCTCAACATGATTGTCTTGCATGACATTATGCACATAAATAAAAAAAAAGTTAGTACATCATAGGAGGTTAGGGAAAAGTGTAACATTTACCTGGTCTTGCTTTTGTGCTGCATGTTCTTGAAGATCTCTTTCGAAGCGGATGTTGGCATCCTGAGCAGAACGAAACTCTCTTTGTGTAGTTTGCAGCATTTGTTCCATTTCCCCTAACTTCATGTTAAGCTCAGACACCCTCCTTTGGGCAGCAACCAGTTCTGAGCTCTGCAGGGAAAGAAAGAACATTTTTTCTTGGAATTGAATTTTCTTGGAATTGGAACTGAGATATTAGGATAGCCCAAAGAACAACATTGAAGAACAACATATCACATTACAAACCCATATTATCTAATCATATCAGATTTTGTTGCACTTGCTCAGGATTTACATCTCACATATCAAATATGTGAGATCAAACATCAAAATAAACAAAAGGTTACTATTAAAAAAAAAGATAGAGATCAAATTGCAAAACAAAATATAATGTTTAATTGCAGTGACTCAGTACCTGTCTCTCTATTGTGCTCTTGAGTTCAGAAACTTTCTTGGCTTCATTCACAGCCTCAGCTAAGCCATTGGCCATTGGCTATAAAAGACATGAAAATCATTGAAGGATGAAGGATAAGCAGGCCCTAAAAGGTTTTTCTAAAAAAGTATAGTATATCTTACTTGGGAAGTTCCATCAGCATCAGTGTCCATGGAATCCTCATCCTTTGCATTGGAGACCATCTTTCCATTTTTGCTCTGGTTCAACTGCATACAGGGTAGGGAAGGACAAAGTTAACAAAGCTCATATATTGGAAGTAGTTCCAAAATCATACAAGTATTAGCAGGAGGGAACTTCATGGAACATATGAAACTTTCCTTTGGTCCTTAAAAAAAATTGGTGACTTTTCCATTTCTGAACTATTTTCAAAACCATGAAAAATACATGTAATTTAGATTACAAGGTTGCAGGTAGATCACCAAAAAGGTAAGGGAAGAAAATTTAGAGAATGTCACATCCACCTAGTGCAAATGATTTATAGGAAATTTAGGAAAAATTGGTCATTTAGAACCTGAGCTTTTTCCAAACAATATTTCAAATAAAAGTGTGCCAATCAGCACTTGCCTGCTTGGTTTCCCTGGGCTAAGGTTGAGCTAAACTGAATCCAATCATATGCACGGAAATCAGCCAGGTTTTGCTGCTTCTCGTGCTGACACGCTCATCCATTTGGTAGGATCTAGGTCAAATAATTTTTCCTATATTTCCAGGAAATCACTAGCACATGGTGGATGCAACATCCTCTAAATATTCTGTCGATATTTTGCATTTTGCATGCAAGAACCCATTTAGCTTTTCAAGATTTAGTTCGTGTGAGACAGCAAGCAAGTTGGAGAGCCACAGATCAGACAATATATACACCAGGGACCCTCAAACTTCTCGGGCGTACGACTCCCTTTTAGGGAAGCCAAAAGCCGCGAACTCCAAAAATTTTAGATCCCAAGATATTGAGGAAATCTAGTACATGACCTACCAGTACACTGAAATAAAAGACCTGAAAATGTACAGCTTTCACTCGAAATCTTCCCTCTGTGACTTCCAAGGAAATTTTTTATTCACGGTAATATACGTTTTCCCGACGAATTTCAGCATAGGGTAGGTGATACAAAATCCGCTCCCTCACTCACAGGTTGAAATTATTTTTTTTTAAGCTATGCCAATCGAGAGGAAAATGTGCACACTGCCCATTCCCGTTTATAAACCAAACATTGGTGTAATTTGGTCGAAAAAGGCAGCTCGGACTTCTGATTACGTCGAAATATGCAACGAGGGGGGGGGGGGGGACTTTATAGCAGGGTCGGAACTTGTATCGCCTAATGCTACGTCCTTTCAATTTCGGCAGCGCTCCTCTCTCCTCTCGGTTTTCCGGTTCAATTTTGGCATCCGCCGTTTCGATTTCAGCTGCACCAGGGAATCTCCCTGTTTCTGTCAACGCATCAGGGATTCTTAGAGGGGTTCCTGAGATACGTACACATGACTAGGCCACCAGATGAACCTTTTCATGCCATCATGCATAGCTGCACCTTTCTGAAACTGACAAAACTAGGACAACGAAGACCGGGACAATGTTTGCAGACAGAGAAGCTGCTCGAGATAGATGAGGCTGCAGTTGAGCACATAACCTATCAGAAATGCTTTGAGTGGTTTCGCCATGAACAAATTTGATTAGATGCCTAAAGAGAGAGCGTATCGATGGCTAAAATTGCTTCAATGTCCAAGCACATACCTTCAATTAACACGTTGACCGCCACCACTGTTCTCCCCGATGGCGAATGTGACACACCGGCGTGTCACGTGGCGGTCAACGTGTTAAAAAAAAAAGATCCTTCGCCGAATATATCCTACGCCTTGGTATGGATGAGCACCAGAGCGTATAACTTGTAGATCATGCGTTCTGTTCTCAGAAGGCAACTCATGTTTGGAAACATTGGCTCTTTCTCCTTTCCCTCTTTGCATACCCATGTTCATTCACCATAGACAGGAGATTTCATTGCGTTGCCGAAATTGAAACAGAGGATGCCAAAATCGGAAGTCTCTTGCCGAAATTGAACCGGAAAACCGAGAAGAGAGAAGCGCTGCCGAAATTCGTCGAGAAAACCTTTTTGAAATTGATCTTTGTATTATCCGTAATCGGCGTAATATTCCAGTTCAAATCTTTCTTTTTTATGGAATAAAAAAACATGACGGGGTCCAGGTCTATACATGAAAACGAAAGTGGAAAACAATGTAGCTCTTACTTGAATTTACTATTAATCTAGAAAAGTACACAAAAACAGTTTCGCAGCAGGGAAAATTATTGCAGTGAGATTGATATTAAGAGCTTGGTTACACCAGGCTATTCCTTCAATGGAGTTTCCACTGAATAATGGTTTTCTGGCAGTGAACAAGCTTGGTCTGACAGTGGAAGAAAAGAGATCCATCTTAATGATTTTCCTGCATTCTCCCTTGAGGTTGTGACCCACAGTTTCAGAAATGCCACTATAGACACCGCCGGGAATGGGGATTATAAACGGTGTGTATGAGGGTTGTCTGCCTGGCAGATAAGTAATCTGTGAATAGGTGGGAGGGAAGAATTCTTAACCATTCTCCAAGTTCGCCAATTAAGAAGGGATTCAGAATCCTACACCCAGCGAACTTATTCGCTCCTTCCCTCTTACCTTAATTAATCTGGGTGCGCTCTTTTCTATTAATCTACGAACGTTTTTCTTTTTCTGCGGGTGCCCAGTCCCCTTTGACCCTTAACCATTCGTAGCGACACCTTAAGCCGCAATCGAACGTTATGATATTGTCCATATAAGAGCTATGCGCTCGTGCAATCAATTTTATTTATAAATAAACGTTAGTTGCATGAACTCATATATAAACACTAATTACACGAACTCATAGCTCCTATATGAGCAGTCACATATTAGTGAATTCATGGTGCGTGATCGTGGCTTTCATTTCCAGGACTTCGGAGAGCATACGTCCTAGTCCCGGTCCAAGCTTTGCTTCAGTGAAGTATATCTCATCAAAGAGGGTGAAGATTTCATTCATTGTCCTTCCAGGTCACGACACTCCTTTCTGATCAAATGCATTCAATGAAGAAGGGAAAAAACAAAACTCGTTTCTTCTCACCTCTTCTTTAGTCTTCTCTAGCTCTTCCTCTAAGGTTGAGGCCCGGTCTAATGCCACTCGTAACCTTTCTCGTACCTAGTAAGTAAGAAGATGGAAAGGAAAAAAGAACTGCATGTGATTTTTACATATTCTTTCCTCATCTCCATTCACTGTAACTTAATAATCACCCCAAGATCGATGGTTAATATAGGTAACCGAACGGTCCTACCGAAAGGAGAGATCAAGGGGTTCCCCTTTCAATCACAAGGCAGAAATACTGTGATCTAGACTTGATGGGAACATCGTGTGCTAACAGCATGAATTATGGAATACGTTCATGTTGCTCTCGATCGCGTGCAACATCATTATTATATGCACGGGACCAGGTCCGAGTATGTTTCCCAGAGTATAGGCTAGACAGATCGAGCGTTTCACCTTTTCGTCGAGGGCCTTGTGATGTTCGAAGAGGCTTTTTAGGGCCTTGAGGACCTCGACCTCGGAAGAAACACCAGACTGCGCCTGAGCCTGTCTCTTCACCACCGTCATCCTCAAGCTCTTTTCGTGTCTCGACACCAGACACTCCAGGTGCTCCAATAACAACTGCGTCATACAAAAACAATAATCGATGGATGGGAATAGGAACCAATCCTTCAACCAAGGCACTTCACCTGCCTTGGGAATTCCTCATCTTAAATTCACTTCCACAGGGTAAACCATAAACCAGTACTTAAAGGAGAGAAAGAAGAGAGGGGGGGGAAGGACAACCCCCTGGGAGAAGGAGAGGGAGGAGAGGGGGAAAGAAGGAGAGAGAGAGAGAGAGAGAGAGAAAAGGATGGGAGAAGGGAAACCCTCTTAACTGCGTTGACACAGTCAACATGAGAGCCATAAAAGCTTGGTCAATCAGACACCAAAGTCCCATGAATGGCCATTTTTCAATAATTGTGGAAAGAAAGAGAAAGACAGACAGACAGACAGGCGACAGATATGCGGTATCACACGAATATCATCTTGCCTTAGCCTAGAATTGAATACTGTTCGGTGTTAGGAGTGAAATTCATGTTATGAGTAGACAGATACTCCCTTCCAAATACCATCTCTTCCATAAAGCAGAGTCAAAACTATACAAAACAGAGAGGACCTTGCGATAATCCTCGATGATTCGCGCTTCCATGAGGATGACAAAGACGAACTACAACAAGCATGAGTGGGGTTCTGGCAATTTATGCCGTTTCAGTTGTCGCCCAGGATAACCACAACAGCGGTAGTCACTGTGTTTCCGGGGATGACCTGAGAAATGAATGATCCAATGTTTATGGCTACGAGAGGAACCAAGAGACAAAGGACTTAAAGAATTGGGTCTTGGAACGCATTAAGCCTTTAATACATGGTGTAGTAGATACGCTACATCCCGAACCAAAAAAAAACATTAGAACAATAAACAAATACTGTACAATAAAATGCGACAATGCAACAACAGAATGTTAGGGATTTCAACTTAAAAATTTGAAGGGCTTTTTTTAAATAAAATATTTTCCCAGTGTTTTGAAAAGAGTAAACTAAAAGGTTAACCTTTATTTGGCAAGGGGAGTAGAGGGGGGGGGGGGGGGGTTCGGGTCATTTAGACTCACAACCTTCATGTTGTCTAAATCATTGAGGGAAAAATTATGAAAATTTCGAATTGCGGGTATGCATCTAGTGATAGCTGGAAGGTCACATAGGTGTATCCGTTTGATGCTATTAGAACTGGCAAATCAAACAAAACCACAATAATTAAAAAAATATATGCCTATTTTCGTTGTGGATTACCTTAGCCAAGTAAGGGTTAAGGCATGATTTCTTATTTTTCGATGGGAAAAAAAGCCAGTTGAATTATTTCCTCAAATTTGTAAATTGAAGGTCCGAACATTTTATTGTGGCTTATTGTTCTAATCTTTTTTGGTTCGGAATGTAACAAATCGTGCCACACCATGCATTATAGGTTTACGTTCGACGGTAAGGAGCCGCAGATTATGCTAAAAGGCACGGTTCCATCGCCCCGGAACACCGGCCGAAATGACGGGTTCCCAGCTGACTGACAGCGTAATTCGAAACGATCAGCGAACAGGTTTCTCTGGTTCGCCTCTGACTGGAGCAGGTCGGGCGATGGGGTCTTCGCTGCCGTTCAGGTCTACGAGCCGAATCGCGAGAGGGACTTGGATGTGTTCTTCCAAGAGATGAATGGGGTCACAAAGAATCACAAGCGGCGATCCCTTTTTATAAATCCGCATACTGGCCCTGAGTTTAGTGCCACACAAGGACACCAATGACTACATTCTTATATGCACACCGTCAAGTTGTATTTCTTCACGACCACGCTCGGGCATGTTGGAATTGAGTACAACACAGCGTTCTTACGAAACTTTGCATCGGCTGCCAACAACAACTAGGTTTATCTTTCACGTACTGTACATCTCGTGATACGTACATTTTAGTACTTTCAGAAAATGATCAGCACTTCGTGCTAAAAGAATACATACGCTTAGAGCGAGATGATTCCAACGGTACCTCACTTATTGAAATAAGTCAAAGTTTTTCTCCATGTCTTTCCGTATTTTCGTCGCCAGAACAAGTGGAACAGGAACCACATACTTCCAGATCTCTATAAAACAGTATTTGACTGGAAAAAAAACTTGGCGGGCTAGGTGACCTTGGCGAGTGGAACCACCCTGGTTTTGGAGTTCAGGGCAAAGCGTAAGTTTTAAGGGAGGTAATTCCTATTGGAAAGGTTATACTATTTAACCCTTTTCATGGTGTTGTCTCTCCATTAGGAGACGCACTTTCAAAATGCACATTAGTCATTGAAGGTGTGTTCAGCAGTGCGTGCGGCGATGTTACGGGAGGGTAACTGTCAATTGAAATAAATTATTGCGTAAATATCGGGTGGTCCAAAAAAATCGCATCTGTTGGACGCTTTATAAAACCGGCTGTGGATGATCTAGGTTAATGGCGTTAGCGTATCACATTGGAAACATCATGAAATTGGTTTTCTGAAAGTTTCACGTACCTAGGTTGTCTGAATAAAAATTGACAGTCGTTCAAAGAGGAGTAAAAAAATGTACCTTTTCCATGCATGAGGTGGATAGTGTTTCAGCAATGCTTGAACGATTTATCTCCATTGACTTCATAAAGACTGTTCTTTATTTCGTGTCCTTGTCGTAGCATTCTACACGTCGTGGAATAGCACTACTGTCGTACATCGTAGCATCAGAATCGATACTACGCATAATACTACGACGAGAACTGGCATAAAAACAACATTTATGGTGTCAAGGGAGAGAAATCAATCGCGCAGTTCTGAAATTCCATCCACCTCATGCGCGGAAAAGGTACATTTTATGACAACTTTGAATGACTGTCGATTTTTATAATTTTCTAATTCTTCTTGAATTTTCTGTTTCTTCCGAGAGAATTTTGATAGAGCGCATTCTAGAGGAAACCATGAGATATGCTGTCATGTCTAGTGACCAAACATGGATGGAAGAAGATATGCGAGTGCCTCTTATGGCGAATCTCCTGATGGGAATAGTAATTGGTCTCTCCCAGTAATTGGTCGGAGAAACAGGGAACTCAATGTCTGTCAGAGCTGATGGACTGACATTGAAAATTTGCAACGAACGGATTCTCAAATACCTTCATATCAATGATAAAGCTCTACAACCTGCAGTTAGGTTTGTTAATGCAATGCCACTGGCTGTGGCATGGCATGATTTTCCTATATAGGAATGGTCATACGTCTAGAAAGTGGTACAGTACAGGTACTAGCGAATTTTTTTTACATTTCCTAAGTGTAGTTCTCACCAATGCAAGGATCCTGTACCAGAGAAGAATGAGGGGGCCAGGAGGAGCAGATCCACCATTCCAAATCTGTTGGGAATCGTGTCGATTGTAGCTAGGCCCCTCCCTACGTCTTCCAGAAAAACTCAACGCAATGAGGGCAACCATCTCCCAAAACTCGACGTTCTGATCACATGAAACCAAACCTATACCCAAAGAAACTAAATAATCCGTATCTGTGTCAATCCGCTATGATGGCAAACATGGTTACTCCAGTACAATCAGACAAGTCTTTAACAGACTGATGCAAATACAGCTCCGGAAGTGGCAATCGAGGTCTAACGTCTCAAAATATCAAGTGCCTTTAATGCCTGTCATGTGTTACAAATTGGTATGTCAAGCAGACCTAGCTGAAATCATTTGGCTATAAAGGGCAAACTTGATCGGATATAACCCCTGCTCTCTCTTACGCTTCCGAAAGAATGGAGACATCTTTCTGTTTGCATAAAAGTTGTTTTCGCTTGGAAATGTCTCATTTGAAGACATACTTGAATTATGTACCTACAGTAAGTGAGCAGATCATGAAAATATAAGCTTCGCCAGCATGTCATGCCATTGGAAAATTGGAAGATATATTGCATTCAATTGCTTTTTATAGCGCGAACACCTACTTTGCCATGGAAAGGGTTAATTATACGGTATCACCGTGCCTTGCAATGGTTTCCTGCCCTCACTTATAAGACAGGGATAAAAAAAAATTGGTTGTGCTGTCCCCTAATGGCAGAAGAAGGAACTTAGACCCGAAATACAGGGTGGCCCAGAAGTAATAGGGCAGTTAGTGGTAAAATCAGCAGTCACTACAATTTTTATTTGCAAAACTTAATATTTAGACACAAAACAAACAAAAACTAATTACAACAGTTGTTCACTGTGACCACCGTGTCTCGTTTTATCGACCGGTCAAACTGCTCTCTAAAACGGCGGCACGTCTCACTCTTGTTTTCCGTTTTGTAAAATGTCTTCACAATAAAGACACGCTCTTCGTTTGTGTACTGTTGGTAATTACGATGCTCCATACTTGCAACCTTTCTGATTAGTGATTCTGAAATTAAAATTAAAATCAATTAATAATCAAAATAATAATAATATAAAATTATAAAATAATAATATAAAATTATAAAATAATAATAATATAAAATTATAAAATAATAATAATATAAAATTATAAAATAATAATAATATAAAATTATAAAATAATAATATAAAATTATAAAATAATAATATAAAATTATAAAATAATAATATAAAATTATAAAATAATAATAAAATTGTAGTGACTGCTGATTGTACCACTAACTGCCCTATTACTTCTGGGCCACCCTGTTATATGCTTCTCTTATCCTGTTACTTCCGTGTTGACTCTATTCTCTTCGTTAACCGTGGTTCTTGGTTTCCTTGACTTCATCTTTCTCTCAGTTCAGATCTCCACTGACTCAGTGAATCCCTCTCATCCTCATTTTAGAAAAAATGGAGAGGGCCCAGAGAAGAAACATGTGTAGGTGGTCCTGCCGTTCTCTATCGGAGAAAATTCCCAAACTGGGACCTCGGCCCTGATGAGATTAGAGGCTAATTAATTATGCATCCAGCCTTTCCACAAGCATCGGAACTAGTCTCACATGAAAATCGACTTCTTGGATCTCGTAAGTTTTTTTTTTAAGAGCGGAAGGGAGGTATAGGAAGAGAAGAGAGATAAAAGGAGAGCAGAGAGAGAGCCTCGGTTGGAACGAGAAAACCTCTACCCTGAAAATAAGAAACTTGATCTTTGATTACAAAATGAAGAAAGGTATGAGGTCGGGACATTTCTCCAAATGGATCTCTGTCACATATGCAAGACATTTTCGCACTCCTACACGGTATTCCAGGAGTTTCATATCGAGCAAGATAACGTTCAGGGAGAAGAAAGAGGAAGAAGTTTTTACGACCGTGAATAATACAGTAGGGAAGAAAGATCTCTTTCTTCTCTAGAGATACGAAGTCAGGAGGATAAAAGCAACTGTACCGTATGGTATATGGGTCCAGACAAGACGAAGAACGGAGGAGAAAATAAAGGAAAAGGAAAGGAGGAAAGGGTGGGGGCTGTCAATTGTGGACTTTCCGTCCGTGATCCAGACCATGTGCTTTCTTTCTCCTCTTTTTTTTTTTTCCTTCCCCAATCGATTCCTAATTGCTACCCTATAGTCCAATATAGGCACCCACCCACACATATACACATGCACTGCTCTCCGATGCTGTAAGGATTCATTGACTCTTATTATTACGTAAAGCCGCGTCTTCTCACACAACCCCTCCCTTTCCTCACACCTTGCTGTCTTTTCTTGACTAAAACTGATCAGGTGCCAGGATTCAGGCACGATTACAAAATACCGAGGCACATGGTACACCATCCCCTTTTCAGTATATACTGTTTCTGGGTGGTCCATCTCCGGAGACTTCTTTGGAAGAGCTACGAGCTAAAACGCATTAAAACAGAACCACCCTCTAAGTTACTAGATCAGATTTACTTATATCTGAGACACTCTCAATCTCACTTTACCTCGTTCAATCTCGTTATATGGCATTGAAGACACACGCAGCACAATAAAGGCCCATCCCTGCAAAACCCGAGGACATTGAGAATATATCATTCCAACTTGATTCTGAGAATACGAACTGGAAGGGAGAAATTCCCTCCATTGTTTGCGAAGAGCTAGGCTATGGAGCATTCCTTGTCGAGCGCGACAAGAGTAGGAATTGGATAATCAAAATTAAACTCACTAAATCCAAT